TCGTAGTCACGCTGAGCAGCGAGATGCAGCAACACCTGAAGAGTAGTCGTCTTCGAGGTGGGGGAGAAGGTCTGGAAGTAGTCAACTCCCTGTCGCTGACTGAAGCCTCGAGCAACGTAACGCGCCTTGAAGGAAGGCGGAGAACTCGGGGGCCGCTTCACCCTGAAATTACACATGCCATCGACTATGTTTGCCCCAGGTGGGGGAACCTCATCGACGTAGGTGCCTGTGGACTTCCAGGATGCCATCTCGGCATCCATGGCTGCCTGCCACTGAGAGGAGTAAGGACCCGTAATCGCCTCTGCGTAAGAGCGCGGGGTCGGGATGTCTGGAGCATCCGGGTCTCCCTCAGGGGCAAGCAGCATGGAAGCGAAACGAGGTACAGCAGCTGCAAGACACTCAAAGTCCTCCTGCCTATCCTCAAGGACGTCCGTGCCAAGAGCACACTCACTCCCGATGGACTGAGGACTGGCAGACGCAGACTCAGCAACTAGAGCAGAGGCGTAGTCTAGACGGTAGGCAGCAGCAAAGTCAAGCAGCTCAGCAAAGAGAGCAGACGCAGCAGCAGACTCAAACGAAGGGTCTGTGACAGCAGTGGCAAGTAGACGAGAGACAGTGGGACTGGCAGCACGAGCGCGGTCAGACTCAGGGTCAGGGACCTCAGGAAGAGAGGACGCAGGAGGAGCAGGGAGAGGAACACGCAGTGGAACAGAGGAAGGACGAAGGTTCATAGCGTGCGTGCCGGGGACAGGAGGAGGACGCGAACGAGGAACGCGACAAGCAGTGCGAACAGGCGAGACAGGACGAGACGCAGGCTCACGACGCTCTGTAAGACCGCCAGACTGCTCAGTGTAAGGAGAAGGAGCAGGCAGTGGAGAGGCCGGCTGCAACGGCGCGTGGGTCTGGTCAGGCGGTGGACACAGGAGGGGAGGAGTAAGGCCAAGAGAAGACGGGGTACCAAGAACCTGCTGAAGCAGGGGAACGAAGTACAGTCACGGCCGCACATTGCCACCAGAGGCAACAGCTCCAGCTCCTCCAGCTCCAGCACCTCCCGCGCCAGTGTCTCCAACTCCAGCGCCTGTTGCGCCAGTGCCTCCAACTCCAGCTCCTCCAGCTCCAGCGCCACCAGCGCCAGAGCCGTCAGCACTAGTAGCTCCAGACTCCGTAGGGTCTCCAGCTCCAGCACCCTCAACGCCACCAGCCCCGGCAGCTCCAGTACCCCGGGTACGAGCACCTCCAGGACCACTAGCAGCAGTACCTCCAGTAACACCAGCTCCAGCACCAACTCTAGCACCTCTAGCTCTAGCAGCTCCAGCACCGCCAGCTCCGGTAGCTCCACTCCGAAGGCGTGCGCGCCGAACAAACCACTCACGCAGCTGCTGCGGAGACAGTCTTGGCGAAGCACCAGCAGAACCTCCAGACGAAGCAGTACCCTGAGGCTCTGCACCTCCAGACTCCGCACCCTCCGACTCAGCACCCCGAGGCCCAACACCCTCACTCTCAACACCCTCAGGCTCAACACCCCCAGGCTCAGCACCCCCAGTCTCAGCACCCTCAGACTCCGCACCCCCAGGCTCCGCACCCCCAGACGCAGCACCCCCAGACGTAGCACCTCGAGAAGCACCTAAGCTGACAGCTACCTGAACAGGCATAGGACCAGGGAGAGGGTCTACCTGAGACACGCCTAAGGGAGCAAGACCCTGGGGCAGGAGGGGGTCTACCGGAGGGGGACCGGGAGCAAGGAAGAGCAGCGGGGGCGGGGGAGGGGCAGAGCGGTAGGGGAAGAGACGGTAAAAGGGAACCGGCTCGTCAAACGTGACGTCCTGAGAAGGAAAGACACGGCGCGAGGTGGGGTGGTAAAACTGCCAGCCAGGCGCGCCAGGGGGAAAGCCAAGGAAGACGCAGGGAATAGCACGGGGGGAGAGCTTGTCCGCGGTTTTATCGCGAACAAAGGCACGAGATCCCCAGACCCGGAACACCGACGCATCGCCAACCTTCCCCGTCCAACGCAGTGTGGGCGAGGTCTCCGGCAAGGAGACACGGGGCCTGAGGTTGAGCTGGTGCGCAGCGTACCGGACCGCAAACCACCACAGATAATGGGGAGCAGCCGCATGGATCATGGAGGTACGAGCGACCTCCATGACTAAGCCAACGCGGCGCTCAGCAATCCCATTTTGCTGAGGGGAGTCCGGAAGCGTGAACGACTGGAGAATGCCCTCCCCACGACAAAAGTCCCGCAAGAGGTTGGAGGAGAACTCACCACCTTTGTCAGAGTGCAGACGCAGGACAGGAAGGTCCTGGCCGAAACGCTCGCGGAGTTGGAGACGGACCGTGCGGATCCAAGGGATCAAGACATCAATGACCTGACCCTTGCTGCGCAAGGGGAAGACCGTGGTGTACCGCGTGTAGTCGTCAACCACCAGCAGAAAGTAGCGATCGCGGCTCTGTCCACTGACGCGGGCTGGGCCCAACACGTCCATGTGGAGAGTCTGTAGGGGAGCAGTCGTCGGGGGAAACGAGGAGGAGTGAGGAGCGGCGCGCTGCCGCCCCTCGACGCAAGGAAGGCAGGGCGGGGCAGGCGAGGGCGGCAGGGGAGGCAGGGACCTGGGAAGACCAGAGACAAGAAGACGAGAGTGCATGCCACGAAGGCGTGGCAGGGAGGGGTGACCCAGGCGGTGGTGCCACAGAAGAGTCTGGTGCGATACGAGGCGACACGAGCAAGAGGCGGCTACCTGACCTGACGCGGACACTTGAGCAGACGCAGCTACCTGAGGAGGCTCGGTAGCGAGTGTGTACAGACTCGACCCTGGCCGACGAGTGAACGTGGCCAGGTGACGCCCCGTCCGTGTGCACGTGCAGATCGTCACACGCTGACCCCCAGGAGTGGTGGTAGTGACCATCGCAGTCCGTGTCCAGCGTGAAGGTGTGCAAGGCCTGAGCAGGCGCAGTACCAGGGAGAGTACCAGACTCACTAGCACCTAGAGCAGCAGCAGCTATACCTGGGTCAGGTGGTACACATCGGTAACAGTCACCCTCAGCACTGACAGACAAAGCATACATAGCAAAAAGAATAGCATCAAAGTCTAGGTCAAAGATAGCAATCCTAGACCTAAGCAGATCTGCCCAGCGAGGGAGCTCGACGTCGTCACCAAACTCAGCACGCCAAGCGTCGTCAAGGCGGGAGTGCGGAGATTCACTCTACAACGGTAGTGAGCTAGACTACGGGGTTGGCACGAACTACTCTGAGTGATCGTAGCTTTGCCTAGTTCCTTAGTGCTTGCACAATCACGGAAGAAATTGGCAAGAGTTTCCACTAGCAAAGTTGGAATTACAGAATTGTTAAACAAGCAATTACAAGAATGACTACATCAGGCACCTAGCAACTCTGCAGTTAGCCTGGTCGACCGACAGCACAGCATGGTCGACCGCATGTCAGCGTTGCATAGAGGAGCCGCGCCAGCACTGCAGAAAGGCGACCTGCCAACACAGCAAGTTGACAATGTGCCAACGCCGCAGCAGAGCGTTGCCCCGTAGAAGACAGGAGTGCGCAGGCTCGCAGATGCGCGCAGACGATTGGCCCGACTTGCACTGTTGTGCATCCGTCGGCTGTTGTCTGCGCCTGACGAGCCACATCGACTTCGGGATACCAACCCGAAGTCGCCTTCGCCATCGCGTCCTCGACGACGTTTGCGTGCATCCGCAGAACTCGCTGAGGAGGTTACCTGGTCGACCTGGACAACCCCAAGTGCCTCTGGTCGACCACCGGGTCCCTCTGGTCGACCACAGCTCCCGTCGAGCTACCCCCTGGTCGATGGACCCCTTCCGTCGACCAGAACTGTCAGCTGTTGTCGACGAGCTCCCCTCGTCGACCGCTGCTCACTTCTCAGGTCGACGGACTGCTCCGTAGACCTCCTGGTCGAACTGCCCCTCCTGGTCAACGGCCCACCCGTCGCCCAGACCAGTCAGTTGCAGCTGTCGAGCTCCCTGGTCGACAGCAACATCACAGCGGTCCCCTGCAGCTCGACGAAGCATGTCGAGCAACTCTCCCACTGTGGACGGTCGGCTGCTACTCCCGTACATCCGACCAAGTCGTCGGCGTTGCCCAAGCGAGGGCGGGGCCAACACTCCACTCCCGTTAACAGGGAGAAGCAGCGGTGCTGTGTGTGAAGCCGCCCGCAAGTCTGACCAGCACGGTCACCCGTGCGAATGACATACGGGCAACTACCCCCAGACGCCCCACGCAAAAACCACTCACGAAGCTGCTGGGGCGACTGGGTCTCGCTCCGACGCTGCTGCTGCTGACACTGGCCACCTCCAAAACAAACACGCCGAGCTCCAGTCCCACCGCCACCAGTCCCACTGCCGCCACCGCCGCCACTCCCACCGCTGCCTCCACTGCCGCCACCAGAGCCCCCTCTCCCTCCACCAGTCCCACCGCCGCCACCACCTCCACTGCTGCCCCCACCACTACTCCCGCTGCCACCTCCACCACCGCCGCTGCCACCTCCACCACCCTTGCCACCCTTGCCCTTGCCGCTGCGGCGCTTCGCACTAGCAGAATCAGCCCCGACGTCCTCAGCAACAGAGACGTCTGCAGCAGCAGCAGAGGCGTAGGAGGGGGCAAGGGGGGAGGGGGAACACCCCTCAAAGAAGGGCGGGCGCGGAGTGCCACGAGTAGCACCTACAGCAACTGCACTAGTCTTAGCTGCGAGGAGATGCTGCTCGAGGAGGTCAACAGTGAGGGAGGTGGGGTCAAGAGAGAGGAAGTGATCCCTCACAGAGCGAAGAGAGTCAGGGAGGCGAGTGACTATGAAGTAGAGGGTGATGAACATCGGGGGCTGGTTCTTGCCAAGGAACTCAGCAGGGACGGCAGCGCGGTAGCGAGCGTCGCTAGCGCGAAGGTGGGAAACCAGGTCCTCGACTGTGGCAAAGGCGGATAGCTCGGGGAACAGGTAGGGATGGTAGGAGGGCAAAACCAGTTAAGCCTCTGGCTAGTACTGTCACTCTTCTTGCAATTCACTTCCTAGTCCCTGGAGAAGAAATAAAGGGGAAATGAGCCCAAGCATCTACACAAGTCGCTAAAATCTATTTTTTCTTCCCCAATTTTCTTTCGCTCCCTCGTATCGTCCGTTTCATCCTAACCACCAATTCTGTCACCGCGCACCTTCCCAGTGGTCCCTTACGAGACTTCCAAGCCACATTCCAATCACCCCACAACGCCCTATTAACAGCAGCATCCGCTCGTCCCATCCATCCACGCACCTTAGCATTGCCTCGTCCCTAGAGCATTTTTTTCGAAAGGCGCTTTCGTTTAAAAGCGTCTATTTTAGAGGCGCTTCACAAACAGACCCGTCCCATCATCCAACGCCGCTTGGCCTTGCCTCGGTCATAATATATTTCTTGAAGCGCATCACTTTTATTAAGCATCTATTGTTTAGGCGCCTCTAAATCAAACCCGTACGACATATCAAATCGCGCTTCCGCTTTCAAGCGTCTGCTTCGAGGCGCTTGCCGAATAAGCCCGTCCCATCCATCCACCCAACAGCAACGCACCTTGGCCTTGCCGCGCCCGGAGCCCGACTGCGCGAGCTTCACCAGCGCGGGCATGGCTCCCTCCTCCAGCAGCAGCTGGAACGACGCCTCGCTGTTCGTCGCCAGCAGGTGCAACGCCACCGCCGCGTCCTCCTTCGCGCGCGACGATCCGCCGTCGATCACGTCCACCATGGCGGCGATGCCGCCCTCCGTGTGCACTGACTGCCGTCCCTCCGCCGATTTGCACAGATTCGCAATGACAGCCATGACTTTGTCCTCCATGCCCGGCTCCGCGTCCGTTAAGAGCTGTACGAGGACTTTCACGGTCCCCGCGGCGATTATATCGCGTACGCAGGAAGACTCCAGGGAGAGATTGAAGAGCGCGAGCGAGCGTCGTACAGTTCCCGTGCGGTCCTGTGCTGTCCGAAGTGAGCGCATTCGGCTAACGGCAGGTGGTTGCGAATGGCTAAGCGGGCAGCAGCGTCGCGAGAAAGCCACTGTGAGCGAGTCGCACTGTCAGCTGTGGTGGGAGGGGCAGTAGCGGCACTGGACACGTGGTCAAACAGGGAAACACCGTCCTTAATATCGCTCAGTAGGTACAGCTGCAGGTCGTTGAGCCACATGTCAAACTGAACCGGTCTACCCTCATGATCAAATGCGAGAACTCGAAGCGAGGCCATAGTGGCACAGTATGCAGGAGCAGCAGTAGCAACAGTAGTAGTAGCCGCAGTAGCAGCAGGAGCAGTATTAGTAGTAGCAGAAGGGGCCGAGGGGCCTAGGGGCCGAGGGGCCAAACACGAAGAGTGCGGGCCGAGGGGCCGAGGCTAGGGGCCGAGGGGCCTGGGTCGCGGGTCACGGTGCGCGGGTCGAGGGGCCTGGGGGCGTGACGGGCCGGAACCGGGGCCTCGGGACGTGACGGGCCTAGGGGCGCGACGGGCAGGAACCGGGGCCTGAGGGGGGGCGCGACGGGCCTAGAAGCGCGAAGGGTCGAGACTGAGGCCTAGGGGCGCGACGGGAAGGAAACGGGGCCCTGGGGCGCAACAGGCTTAGGGGCGCGACGTGCAGGAACGGGGCCGTGGGGCGCGACTGGCCTAGGGGCGCGACGGGCAGGAACCGAGGCCGTGGGGCGCGACGCAGAGCGATGTGCTTCGTTCTGTGCTCCAGTCTGTGCTCCTGACACAAGGCAATGGCGGCCTTGTTGTCGACGTACAGCACTGGAGGAGAACGAGGCCGCTCTCCCAAGTCGGTCAGCAGGTAGGTGAGCCAGCGTAACTCCTGTGCAGCCATGGCTGTGGCGTAGATCTCAGCCTCACAACTGGAGCTGAAAACGAGCGTGTAGAACGCCAAGAAACTGAACCAGAGCCAAGGCTGAAGGTGTAACCCTGTGACGACCGCTGCGTAGCCTGGTCGTCAACCCAAGAAGCGTCCGAGTGACCAGTGAGGACAACATCGCCCCGTCCTCCAAACACGAGCCCCATGCCCGATGTACTACACAAGTAGCGCAGTACCCTCTTAGCAGCATCCATGTGCACCTTTCGGTGCCGACCAGGAGCCACGTAGCGAGCCAGAAGTCCAAGAGGATACGCAAGGTCAGGACGAGTGCAGGTCATCAGGTACATGAGGCAGCCCACTAGCTCTAGGTAAGGACCACTCGGCTCTACGGACTCGTCCGAAGGTGGAGCTGAGAGCGAGTGACCTGTAGCCAGAGGAGTGGCCTGTGCTGAGGACCAGGTGAAGCCGAAGCGCTGAAGGACTTGCTGCACCATGTGTGACTGAGTCAGTGTGATGGTGCGGCGTGCTCTGTCCCGGGTGATCTGCAAGCCAAGGTAGCTGCACAGTTCACCCAGGTCTGTGCACGTGTGTCTCTTCTGCAGCTCCGACTTCACCAGGGCGAGAGCCTCAGTGTCAGCAGTGGCAAAGACCAAGTCGTCGACGTACACGAGGATGTAGAACGGCGGCAGCGAAGTGTCGGTGCGCAGAAACAGCGACGGGTCAGCAGTCGACGGAGCAAACCCAAGAGCCGCAAGTGTCGTCCTCAGTGTGTCGTGCCACTCACGTGGCGCCTGGCGGAGACCGTAGACCGGCTGCCGGAGGCTCCACTGGGTACCAGGAGGGAACGACCCAGTGAAGCCAGGCGGGCGGCGCAGCCAGATCTCCTCGTGCAGGCTGCCCTGCAAGAAAGCTGTGGTGAAGTCAAGAGAGTGAAGCTCGTAGTCACGCTGAGCGGCAACGTGCAGCAGCACCCGAAGAGTGGTCATCTTCGGGGTGGGGGAGAAGGTCTGGAAGAAGTCAACTCCCTCTCGCTTACTGAAACCTCGAGCAACGTAACGAGCCTTGAAGACAGGCGGAGAACCTGGCGGCCGCTTCACCCTGAAAATCCACATGCCACTGACGATGTTCGCCCTAGGAGGGGGAACCTCGTCGACGTAGGTGCCTGTGGACTTCCAGGATGCCATCTCTGCGTCCATGGCTGTCTGCCACTGAGAGGAGTACTCACCCGCGATCGCCTCAGCGTAAGAGCGCGGGGTAGGGATGTCTGGTGCATCCGGGTCTCCCTCAGGGGCAAGCAACATGGATACGAGATGAGGCGCAGCGGCTGCAAGACACTCAAGGTCCTCCTACCTGTCCTCAAGGACGTCCGTGCCAAGAGCACACTCACCCCCGACGGACGGAGGACAGACAGACTCAGACTCAGCAATAAGACTAGCGGCGTAGTCTAGACGACAGGCAGCAGCAAAGTCAACAAGCTCAGCGACTAAGGCAGACGCAGCAGTAGACTCAAACGACGGTAAAAGACGGTAAAAGGGAACCGACTCGTCGAACGTGACGTCCTGAGAGGGGAAGACACGGCGCGAGGTGGGGTGGTAAAGCTGCCAACCAGGCGCGTCAGGGACAAATCCAAGGAAAACACAGGGAACAGTGAGGGCGGAGAGCTTGTCCGCGGTGGTATCGTGGACAAAGGCACGAGCACCCCAGACCCGGAAACGTGACGCATCGCCAGCCTTCCCCGTCCACAGCAGTGTGGGCGAGGTCTCCGGCAAGGAGACACGGGGCCAGAGGTTGAGCTGATGCGCGGCGTACCGGACCGCAAACGGCCACAAAAAATGGGGGGCAGCCGCATGGATCATGGAGGTACGAGCGACCTCCATGACTAAGCCAATGCGACGCTCAGCAACCCCATTCTGCTGCGGAGAGGCCGGAAGCGTGAACGTCTGGCGGATGCCGTGCTCCGCACAGAAGGCTGCCAAGAGGTCGGAGGAAAACTCCCCACCTCTGTCAGAGTGCAGACGCAGGACGGGAAACTCCGTCCCGAACCGCTCGCGGAGCTGGAGACGAGCAGCGCGGATCCAAGGGATCAAAACATCAGGGACCTCACCCTTGGTGCGCAAGGGGAAGACCGTGGTGTAACGCGTGTAGTCGTCGACGATCGGCAGGAAGTACCGCTCGTGGCCCTGTCCACAGACGCGGGCTGGGCCCCATACGTCCAGGTGGAGAGTCTGCAGGGGAGCCTCTGTGGGAGGGAACGAGGAGGAGTGAGGAGCGGCGCGCTGCCGCCCCTCGACACAGGGAAGACAGGGAGGAGCAGGCGAGGGTGGGAGGGGAGGGAGAACCCTGGGAAGACCAGAGACAAGGACACGGCGGTGCATGCTACGAAGGCGCTGCACCGAGGGGTGACCAAGGCGGTGGTGCCAAAGGAGGGTCTGGTGCGAAAAAGCGCGACACGAGCAGGGGGCCGCTAGCTGACCTGACGCAGACGCTGTCGCAGCTACCTGAGGGGACACAGTAGTCAGTGTGTACAAACTCGAGCCAGGCGCACGGGTAAACGTGGCCAGGTGCCAGCCCGTCCGGGAGCACGTACAGTGGGTCATGCGCTGACCTCCAGGAGTGAACTGGTCATCCCACTGGTCCTGGAGGTCAGCACCACTCACCAAGTTCATAGAGAACGAGGGGAGGTGAAGACCTGACAGGGAGCCAGACGGGACCGCCGGACACGGCAGGACCGTGGAGGAGTGCGCAAGGACTGGACCCCCAGAGGGGTCTGCCAGGGAGACTGGAACCGGCCGGCTGAGCGGCGTGAGGGTGGTGCTGTCACGAAAGAAGGAGCGGGAAGCACCTGAGTCAAGTGTGAAGGTGTACAAGGCCTCAGCAGGCGCAGTACCAAAGAGAGCAGACTCACCAGCACCTGGAGCAGCAGCCTCACCAGCACCCAGAGCAGGAGATGTTATAGTCACAATAGGCTTGAATGTGCCTAAAACGAAAGATAGAGAGCACAGACGGATTTCTGCACAGCGGCTTCAAACGTTGATAGCGTTCTGCTCACAGCTGCAAATGACTTGATTCAAATTGGATCTGGAGCGTCTTCACGTCGTCTATAATTAGCAATTTAGATTGCACGATTTGATAAAGAATTGACGACACAGCGTCAGTTTGAACAAACGGTACTATGGCAGCCACTATAGTCTTAGAACACAAGATAGGAAGAGTTACGAGTTGGGAATGACTCCCAGCTCCTACAAACCCCAAGAGCCGAGGTACAGTGATGTGGAACAGTGCCACACTGTCCCCAACCACGAAGGGTCTCGAAACTACCCTTCACTAGGGCCTACACCAAGTGAAATGTTACACTACACAAAGTAATGTAACTATCTTCAATATCTTGAGGTGTACCCTTTTGGCAAGCTTCGAAATCACTTGAGGCTTGACACCAAGGCTCGGGCTCTTCATCACAAACTCATCCTTGAGTTCTTGATGGGTCTGCTGCACACACCTGCGACACGCCGAACGTTCGACACAGGACAAAATAGAAACCGCGCACGACAAAATAGAAACCGCGCGCGAGACACAAACGACCGCGTAACACGCGTCTAGCGATAACTCGCTATTGACTCGACACACACACTCGACATCATGACTCAACATTCACACACAATTATAAGCATGAAATATATATTATCCCATGCCCTCATACCATTCCATACACACACACATTCACGCACACGGACAACAAGCCGAGTGCAAACCGTAGGGTTGCACCAACAAACTCCCCCTCGGATTGTTGGCCTTAGGATATGTTGCTCTCTCAGTTCAGAGCCATCCCAGCCAGCTTGCAACACTTCCAATGCTGCTGCTCCACCAGCCTCTTGGTCATCATGTCAGCCGGCTGCCCCGTGGTCTTCACGTAGCGCAACTCAACTTCACCCGCGGTTACCATGCTCCTCGTCCAATGCCACTTCACCCTCATGTGCTTCGTGAGTCCATGCAACACAGGGTTCTTAGCAAGA